AATGTTTACCTGTGTGCATATTTGTGTATGACTGTATGTGTGCTTTATGTGTGAGTGCATGGGCATATTATGTATGTGAATGTGTGTGTGTTTGCCATTCTAACTCTTGTCCTATTTATCTGTCCTTGTTTATCATTCTTTAGTCTTTATCACTTGTTTGCTTGTCTGTTCTGGGAGAAAAATGAAGGAGTCCACGAGGATGTTTAAAATTCCTCAAGGGAGGAATGGAGTGAAAAAGGTTGAGAGCCACTGGTTTAGAGTTTTTTGGTTTTTTGTTTTTTTCCTGTATGTTTCTTTGTTTGATTGGTTTTTCTTGCATTATTGCTTTTTATGACTGCATTGTTTTCCTTTCGTTAGTTCAAATGTGCATTGTCATTTCCTTTTAACTTGGTGGGGAGATGTGAGATTGTGAAATGGAGTACCATCGTACGATATGTTTTCCCATGTGGCAGCGCCCAGTTGCCAGTCACCATCTGACGCTGGTATAGTAAAGTCTGCAAAGAACCTGGTCTATTATTCAAACCTCTCACACTATTCATTTTACTAATTAGATTCCAAATAATACCAGCATCGCAGTAACAAAAAATATGAGTCTAATACCACAAATACAATTGTAAAAATATTATACAAATCACATTGGTATGGTCTGTTTACACTCGTGTCGGGGACTACATGACTAAGTGATTTCCATGGTTAGCCTTGTGCTCAAACAATCTTTTACTATGATGGAGGTTGTAATTTATTTTTATTTTAGTTTCATTTTTTCCCAACTTCATAGTGGGTGTGTCTTCTATCCACTAATTTTTAGTTTGCAATGATTTCACAACTCCCATAATCCTTTGTGCAGTCCACCATCTTGTAGGTATAGACGTGTTGCATTATGGGAGTTGTGACATCAATGCAAGCTAAGAATAAGACGCTCCTTAAGGCAAATGGTGGGCCCCTCAGCCCAATAAAATAGGCTGTATGACACAGTAAGTGCATGGTGAGTGGGTGTTTTAAAATAAAGGGCAACTCCCAAGACCAAAAACCACACTGTCTTTTCCACTCAGCTTCTTAAAAATAGAATTATACTGTACAGTAGTAACTAGCTGAGCAGCTGCTGTCTCAATGGAGGTCACAACTGAAATGAAGGTGTTGACACTAAATGAGCTTTGCATTCAAGCCAGAAGAGCTTGTACAATAGATGCACAGGTCATAACTCATCAGGCCTCTAGCTGGCAAGGGCAACTATGGTTTCTGGGTGGAAGGATGTTAAATCTTGAGAAAAGACCCAAGCTATCTTTTATAAGTGCTCCTCCTTGGATCAAACTAGAATGCATTGGTTTAGATATACCAACGTGCATTATATTATAAAATAAATGTCCTCCATGAAAAGGCTGTGCTTTAGCTACTGGTGAAAATAAAAGTTCATGCCATTGCTCCACAGTATACCTAATGTACTGTACAGTACATGGAGAGAGGATTAGCTCCTTATACACTGGTTCTTGGACACACAGAAGTCAGTATATGAGCACAAAACCACATACACACGTCACTGGTGGAACAACCCAAGCATCCTGCCACATTAATAGGGTGTGTCATAGGAGGGAAGATCAGCTAAAACTAATGGCCCATCACTTTTTTGGTAGATTTTAGTGTATATAAACAGAAAATAATTTCAGTTTCAATATTTTGCAACCTTTTGCTAGGTAAATTTTAGCGTGAAATTTATCGAAAATCTAATGTACAGCTGCATTAGTGCATTACAATTAAATAGTGAACATTGCTTTCTGACTTCATTCTTTAACAACCCAACTAACAATATTTTTTTCTGTTTCAGATTCTGATGCATTTATAAGTTGATAATATTTGCAATGGCTGCTTGTGTCAGGACGAGGAACCAAAAATCCAGCCATCTCAGTCACTATCTTGGGTCTGGGAGAGAGCTCCTGAAGTCGGAGTTGCCTACATTGAGAGATGCTTTGAGATACAGTGTTTTAATCAGGCAAATCAGTGAAAAGAACCAAAGAACTTACACAAACAAAGACATTGCCAGTGATATGACCAAAGCTGTCTTGGTACAGTACACTCTGGCTAACGCTCAGTTCAAGCCTCCAGTCATAACAAGTCAGAAGAAGATTAGTGAGAGACTGCTAGCCAGTTGGGAAAAGGCAAGAGATATCTCTCTTGGGAGAGGAAAACTTGCAGTTAAGGACAGCTTTGCCAAGCAACTGGACCAGTTATTTGACATAATTACTTGCAAGTGCCCAATTGTTCTCTGTCCTGAGTTTGGATGCGATCGTGACTGTAAATCCGAGGCCCACATCTCCTGTATTTGCAAGCGTGAACTGAAGATTCCTGTGATCGAACTGGCATTTGTCAAAGCACAGAGAGAGAAGACTGGCAGTATAGGGGCTCTCATGATTTCTAGCCAAGATATTCCGGAGTCCAAGAGACAGGAGGCTGCCACAGAGAGACAGAAGAGGAGAAGAGTTGCCGAGGAAAAGAGACTTGAGAAGGCCCAGGGTGAGGTAAAAAAGGCCGATGATTGGAGTCAAGCTGATTCAGAGTTTAATGACTTCCCCATGGCTGATCGAGTGCTGACCAGGAGAATGGTGACTTTGTCCCTAAACCGAAAATACGATCCCAAACCTTCCAGGCATAAGATTCGAAATAGAAAAGATATCCCGAGCATGGCTCTGGCCAGCATGCTACACCACACACTGGTCTCAGAGAAACTGCAGATAGCAACAGCTGCCTGGATTGACGGTGGTTTGATAACACCTGATGATATTCACCTGGTAGATCATAACAAAATGAAGCTCGGAGAAACTTGTCAGTAACCTAGGGAGTTTGATGAGGATAGAAAATGAGGTCATTGTTTTGTTCTTTGATGGGAGAGGATGACCTCAAAGTGTTTATAAGTTGGAGATTCTGACCGGTTGCTTCACTACTTCATGGTGAAGGAGGAACTTCTCCTGCTGCAGTGAACCAGGAGGAACACTACTCCTGATGAGCCAGGAGGAACACTACTCCTGCTGCAGTGAACCAGGAGAAGTATTTGTGGCGACTACTCAGAAGATGACATCAGGGAAACCAGCAACATGGGAATAGTGGCAGATACTTGCTGTGAACTGGCTCAGAGAGAGGAAGCGATAGACCAGACCCACTGGCCATTGGAGGGGACAGCATAACTACAGACACAGAAGGTGGCAAGGGGTCATGATGTGGATAAATAGGAAGATTGGAGGAAAGCTGGATTGTTGTGACCTCCACCGGTTGCCTCGAGACATCCCCTGATCAGGAGCTGGATGGCAGACTCACTGAAGCAACAGTCCATTCCTCTTACAGCAGAATGCAGGACTCACCACTGGAGTTAGAAAGCCATCCGACTTTGAAAAAAATCACAGTTGGCCTCCACTCTGGGTGAGCTTGCATACTGTAGGTAGCGACCTGGTACTGACCAAGTACTATGGTTACATGATTTTAGTGCCATCAAAACTGGGGTCATGCCTGATGGACTTGCTTACCTGCAAGAATGGGTCAGTCTCACATTCTGGAGGTGGCTCTACAGCGGCTCTCAGGTTCCTGCAGAATTTGGGTGCTCATCATAAGCCTGAAAGAACCAACCACAACCACAGGACTTATTGCCAATTCGCCGTGAGTGTCTCTGCTACTTGCAAATTGGTTTCAACACCAAGGTCAAGTCATCGTTCTTTCGAAGGGTCAGGGCATATTCTCTTCCAGCTTGAGCTCCTGATCAGCCAAGGAAGATTTGTTTAGTTGTGGAGCAGACTGTGAGGAGATACAGTAATAGCATCCGGAGCAGTTCTGGAGCAATGCTCTGCGGCAGGATGAGGAGAGAGAAAGTGGCAGTCAAAAGATCTTAGATATAAGAGACTTATAAGGAAGGGATCTGGGGCATGTAAGTCAATTTGGTGGTGATTCCTTCAGGGTGGGGAAGACTCACAAGTCAATCTAGTGCCAAGACCTCACTGATCTGATGAGTCTGGATAACATCAGGCTGGCATTTGACCCCTCTTGCCACAGCCTCACCAATGTTCAAGTCAAGGCACCTGGACAATCCCATGCATCCACCACTTTATTTTCCTTTTGAGTATAGGCGTTGTGTACATGGTGGCCCAACAGCAAATGTACAGCTGGGAGAGGAGGCTATGAGCTCCGGTGGTCAGCAGGGAGGGTGATGAGTAGAAACAGAAGCAGGCCATGCCTTCTCTATGGTGTGCAACATGCCGAATTAAGTAGTAAAGTAAACCGGTTTTTGTATTTGATGATTTTGTTTTCTAAAGGAATACTAAATTTAATAAATGTGTCAAGATCATTACGTTTCACTATTCACGGATCCATTTCATCTAACCAGAACAACTTCATTACAGGCTTTAATTTACTTTGACCACTATTTAGTGGTGTTGGTAAAAGGAGTTGGAATACTGAATTTTCATAAGATTTCAAGTTAAAATTACCTTACAAAAAATAGCTTTTCAAATCTGAAAGATATCATCACATGATTCTGCACATAGAACTACATCATTAATACCATGGGCCGATTTTTCAAACTAAAAAAAAAAAAAATTCGCCTCCGTATGACACACCCTACTGCCACAAGAATGGTACCTAACCCTCCTGCTACTGAATGCTAATAATCTGAGGGTCAGCATCTGTCTGGTTACCCTTCATGGCTTGTTATGAGAAAAATAAATGACAGATATATCTACAGTGTCATCTTTGCTCCTAATTAAAGAGTCCTCATCCACTTTGGTGTGGAAAGGTTAACAGGGTATGACTTAAAAAGAAAGAGGGAGAGTGGTGAAAAGTAGGTATAGAAAGCAACAGATAGATAAAATTAGTTAAAATATCCACACATACTTCCTCAAATCCTTGATGTGCAAAGGCAATTACATTGGGAAATAGTGTAAAATAAAATTTAAATTGACAATACCTGAAACAGTTTTTGAGATGTGTGTGTTTTCTAAATCTTTTGATATTTCACAATCAACTGCAGTGGCCTTCTTTTTTGCTGCTGCTTCTTTTCTGTGATTTGGAGATGCCACCTGAAAAAAAAAAACCATTGTAATATATACAGCTAGACCCCGACTTACGACGGGGTTAGGGTCCCAAATCGAAGTAGTGAAAGTCCGGATAATTAAGTAAATCCGACAAGATAATTTTTTTTAAATAAAAAATCTACAATGAAATACAGTACAGTAAAAGTAATAAATAATGAGGAATGGATACAGTACAGTGAAAGTAATAAATAATGAGGAATGGATACAGTGTGACTGAGCACTTACCTTTAATGTAGTCAGCTGAATGCACATGGGGTCCCCATAATTTTCTAATTATACATGGAGACTACATTAACTGGAAACGTTTCGAATTATAGAAAATGCGTGTTAGGAATAATAATCACCCCATTGCTTGGGAAAAAAGCTTAGAAGCATTCAAATCATCTTGTGTCACAGAAAGACTTCTGGTTGAAGCTAGTTTGATTAAGGAATTAAGATCAATAAACCTTAGTGATGGTCAGTTCAAAACTGATAATATGTTACATAAATTTATTTGTCAGTGGCCCAAGGTTAAAATGTTGAAAACCTTTGATCTAGATGTATGATAGTTATTTTTGTGGGTCCTTTTTCCTTACGACCTAGCTAGTCACGTCACCACCTTCTCTTAAGCTCCTCTGTGTGTGTGTTGGTGTGGGGATTAGTGGATGTCATCATTATGACCTGACCTCATGTTTTAGGTCACCCTGTATATTTAAGCCTCTCTGTCCATAATCCAGTTGCCTCTGAAGATGTCTTGAATAAAGGCGAAAGCTAAGGTACTCCGTTGTTTCCATTTTCCGTGTGATTTATCAAGATTTATCTTATCCACGTTTTCATTGTGATTTACATGATATATATATATATATATATATATATATATATATATATATATATATATATATATATATATATATATATATATATATATATATATATATATATATATATATATATATATATATATATATATATATATATATATATATATATATATATATATATATATATATATATATATATATATATATATATATATATATATATATATATATATATATATATATATATATATATATATATATATATATATATATATATATATATATATATATATATATATATATATACCTCTGTTAACGAACTCAATCACGTTCCAGAAGGTCGTTAAGTTAACTGAGTTAAGTTAACGAAACCATTGTTTCAATGGGTTTTGGTATTGGTTCCAGCTCACGAAATTTCCTAAATTCAACAAAATGGTAGAAAAGTTCACTTCACTTTGAGGTGTGTATGTAGAAGGCTCCTGGATGATGATGATGATGATGATGATGGGATTTAGAATGGGGTTGAGTGGAGAAAGGAAGAAGACATTGGGGTGGAAGAGAAGTCACCCCATGGCATCACCCATAAAATTTTAGCTCTCTTGGTGTAATTCAAGATTATTTTCTTTAAATCAACACTGCACTGCATTATTTATTGTCAATATAAAAATATATTTCAAAATGACCATAATTTGCTTGGAAACACAGAAAAAAAGCGTTTAGTTGAAGAGTTCCAAGCAAGATGTTACCTCCAGTGAAACAGAGCCGAGACTAACTCCTGTTTGCTGTGTTAAGAGGCTGGATGCCGCATTAAACTAGTCACTATTTCAATTATGTTCAATAATTATAAAATGACTAAAAATTGAATATTAAACTTAAAATTATTGAATAGTATAAACTTCTTGATATTTACTAAAATAGTAAGGAATTTAAGCACTAGAACCGATTAATGTACGACTGATACTAAAGCTGTTGTCCGGTCAGTGCAAGAAAACATGTTGAGGTCGGTTCAGAAGAACCGTTAATCGAATTTTTTTTTCAATCGATTTTTTCGTTAACCGAATTGAAGATCCTTATGGAAGGCAGTTCGTTAACGAATTACGTTAACCGAGGTGTTGGTTAAACGAGGGCTCACTGTATATATATACAGTCATGAGCTAAAGAACGTCCGACCGAACAACGCCCGATCGCATATACGTCTGCGTCCGCCCCAAAAAAATACTGCTGGACCACCACTCCACGACCCCCTAGCGGAGACAGATGATGATCCTCCCTGCATTGGTCAGATATTATGTGTCAAAGGAATATGCTTCCATACTTAGGCTTTTTAAGCATTTGCCACAGGTGAAATGTTAACCTACATCTATTGAGATAAAATCTTTCACCCACAAATTGACAACACATTTGCTGTAATCAGACATATCTAGTGGCTTAACTGCAACCCCTAGAAGGTAATTTCAAATTCTTTGGCATTACTAAAAATAGTAAAGTTTCGGTGCACTCTAAGATTAAGAGAGAAAGCGAGGACTCAGGCATCCTGATGTGAGAAACGGACTTATGACGGGGACCAAACAAAAAAAGCATAGCTACATGTTTTGGGGACTACAGTAATAAGAGAATACTTATCACTTTGTAATAAACCAGCACTATGTGTGTGTTTATGATATTTACCATAACATTATATATATATTTAATAGGTCTAAATGGTCGAAAATGGGAAACTTGGGTTGTCTTGGGTAAAGAACCAATTAGAATAAATCCCATAGGTTCTGTACTGCTATCGGGAGGGTCCCAATTAGGCGCGATAACCAAGGGATGACTGTACTGTACTGGTATATACTTGTGACACTGGCCAGTTGCTTGGTGTTATGGTACAGGGGTAACAAGTGACAGCACTAGATCCCGCTTCCTCTATCAAGGAATAAACAATTAAAATTTAAATTGAAACAAAACAAAAAACATTCAAATAAATTACTATCTTACAAGAATCCTCCAATTATAAGTTATATTCACCCAGGTCATTTAAGGAAAATTAAAGAGCTTAAATACTCTTAAGTAATGATAAATAAACACGCAGGCCTTCAGCACCAACTGTCAAATCTTATCTCAAATAAACAAACAAACAGCTAGTCATTCTGCACTGTTATGCAGGTCCCAATTAGGCGCGATAACCAAGGATAACTGTACAGTACTGTATATACTTTGACACTGGCCGTTGCTTCTGGTGTTATGGTACAGGGTACCAAGTGACGCAACTAGATCCCCGCTTCCTCTATCAAGAATAAACAATTGAAATTGAATTGCAATACAGTGGCCCTCGGTTAGTAACTCAATCCGTTCCAGAAGGTGTATTCGTTAACCTAAACGTTCGTTAACCGAAACCATTGTTTCAATGGGTTTTTAAATGTTCCAGCTCAACGAAAATTTCCTAAATTCAACAAAATGGTAGAAAATTTCACTTACTTTTGAGGTGTGTATGTAGAAGGCTCCTGGATGATGATGATGATGATGGGAATTACAATGGGGTGGAGGAGAAGGAAGAAGAGAGCATTGGGTGGAAGAGAAGAATTTACGGCACCATTTCACCCATAAAATTTTAGTTCTCTTGGTGTATTTCAAGATTATTTTCTTTAAATCAACACTGTACTGCATTATATATTGTCAATATGTAAAATATATTTCAAAATGACCAATAATTTGCTTGGAAACACAGAAAAAAGCGTTTAGTTGAAGAGAGAGTCTCAGCGATATTACCTCCAGTGAAAACAGAGAGACTAACGCCTGTTTGCTGTGTTAAGAGGCTGGATGCTGCAGATTAAACTAGTCACTTTACCTTCAATTATGTTCAATAATTGTTAAAATGACTAAAAATTTAATATTAAACTTTTAAAATTATTGAATAGTATAAACTTTGATATTTACTAAAGAATTTAAGCCCTAGAACCGATTAATGTATTGGTGGACTGATACTAAAGCTGGTTGCCCGGCCAGTGCAAGCGAACATGTTGAGGTCTGTTCGTAAGAAATTCATAACCGAATTTTTGTTAGATAACCGAATTGAAGATCCTTATGGAAGGCAGTTCGTTAACCAATTATAACGAGTATGCTCGTTAAAACGAGGGGTCACTGTATAGCTTGTTTATACAGGTATTCAAATAACTTACTATCTTACAAGAATCCCAGCTATGTGTTATTCACCCAGGTCATTTGGGTGGTAAATTATGAGAAGAGCTTAGTCACTCTTAAGTAATGATAAATAAACATGCAGGCCTTCAGCCAACTGTCAAATCTTCTCTCAAATAAAAAGGACACTCTTCACCTCTCCTCCCCCTTCCCACGATCGGCTGGCTACCTCCTCCTTGTGTTCCCAGACAAAAGATTGGTGATTTCTTTATGTTTATTTTATATAAAACTGGTAAAGTTAGGATAATATAATTTGCATTGCTGAAATCCTTCCAAGACAGAGATTAATTTAAATATAAGCCATATATTTGCTCAAAATATAAAAAGTAGTATCATTAGTGTACAATACTGTAGTACATTTATAAAAAATTTTCAACAGTATTTGGGTAGATTTACATAAATTTCTTTATTTATTTTCATCCGTTTACATGCACACACCATACTAAAAGAAACGTAAAAGAAATAAATGACCTTAGTGCAAAGCTGGAGTGCACATGTACTAATTTGATTACGGTACTAAAAATGTTATGTCTAGTGCGAATTACAACATGTTTATACAGGGTATTCAAATAAATCAGATTCTTACAAGAATCCCAGCAATGTTAATTATATTCTCCTAGGTCATATCACTGGCATTTTAAAATGAGAGAAGCTTAGTAGAACTGTTAAATAAACACACAGAGACCTTTGGCTGAAACTGTCAAATATATATATATATATATACTGTATATATATATATATATATATATATATATATATATATATAATAATATATATATATATATATATATATATATATATATATATATATATATATATATATATATATATATATATATATATATATATATATATATATATATATATATATATATATATATATATATATATATATATATATATATATATACAGTGGTACCCCAACGCGGTCAATTGAAACAGAGGGCAACGTTAAGTGAAAACCGCGTTAAGTGAATAATAAACATATGGGATTAATTCCAATAG